ATGGACGCTTGAGAAACAAGTTTTATTTGACGGTACTTGAGTGACATTTTGGAAAAAGGAGAGGAAAATAAGGGGCCACCTTTTACGATTAAAGCAACATTTTTCAGTCCTGTCTGTAAAAGGAGAAAATTACACAAGAAGTAGGCAGTATAGCTGTTGAATTTTGATTGTTTTGAATTCCACGGATATATATTTACATTTGCATGGCATTGTACTATATACACTCTTTGGAAGCGGTGTCGTTGATGGGACTTTAATTACCATGCAGCACGAGACACAGTTCTTAGCGTATTAATACAACACTGACCGGAACTACAATATCCAATTAAATAAACATGACGGCTGCTGAAATATCTCTTGGCATTGTGAGACTTGACAATGTTATTGTAAATTTATGTGCAAAAGAAAAAAGAAAATATAAAATAAATACTTTTATTACAACAAAACCAAGTCTGCAATATCGTACAAAATGCACATCGGTTGAAATCACCAATGCCAGCAATGGAAACAATTTAAACACTCATGCAATTTATCAGAAATATCGTCTGTTACACTGCACTAATCAACAGGAGTTCGTTACAAATTTCTGAAATACACATAATCTATAGACCTATTGACACATATGTNGGTCCGGAGTGTTAACCACTCAACCAGTCTGCCCATACATATTTGTTTCAGGTGTAGAAACGAAAAGTGGTGCCAGACAACAAATTCCGGAAGGTATTTTAGGACGTCAGACGAACAATTTAAAAACATACTTTCAAGATAATTACATTATACTTAATTATAATTAAAATGTGTAAAAGTTAGTATTCACAAACTCTTTTTATTATTTAAATCACTTAGTATTTTTGCGTATGACACTTAAAAGATTGATACTATTCTGTAGACAGCTACCAAGCCAACCTCAGTAAAAGAGGAAATAAAATATTTTTGGACTTTTAAACAACTTGAGTTCAGTTATGGATATAAGCCGAAGACTGTCTAATAAGTGAGAGAAAGGACAGGTGTCGAGGCCCTTTAGGGCCGAGAACTGTTCTTTCTCTCACTTATTGGACAGTTTGAGGGTTATATTTAACTTAAAACATAGTCCCCTCTGGGTGCCTCTAATGCTGATTCTCTATTGGTGTTCACTGACCCATTTAACTTATTGGACAGTAAAAGGTGAACCTATTGTCACTCTCATGTAAAGCTCGTGCATGATTTTGGAGTCTTTAACGTGAACATGTGTTTATATATCACAATGTTTTCTGACACTAAGGAAGTTATTATCATAACTCTTTCAAAACTTATGGACGCTTGAGAAACAAGTTTTATTTGACGGTACTTGAGTGACATTTTGGAAAAAGGAGAGGAAAATAAGGGGCCACCTTTTACGATTAAAGCAACATTTTTCAGTCCTGTCTGTAAAAGGAGAAAATTACACAAGAAGTAGGCAGTATAGCTGTTGAATTTTGATTGTTTTGAATTCCACGGATATATATTTACATTTGCATGGCATTGTACTATATACACTCTTTGGAAGCGGTGTCGTTGATGGGACTTTAATTACCATGCAGCACGAGACACAGTTCTTAGCGTATTAATACAACACTGACCGGAACTACAATATCCAATTAAATAAACATGACGGCTGCTGAAATATCTCTTGGCATTGTGAGACTTGACAATGTTATTGTAAATTTATGTGCAAAAGAAAAAAGAAAATATAAAATAAATACTTTTATTACAACAAAACCAAGTCTGCAATATCGTACAAAATGCACATCGGTTGAAATCACCAATGCCAGCAATGGAAACAATTTAAACACTCATGCAATTTATCAGAAATATCGTCTGTTACACTGCACTAATCAACAGGAGTTCGTTACAAATTTCTGAAATACACATAATCTATAGACCTATTGACACATATGTTACAGACCTACTGATATGAGTCGCAGTACACATAAACATTTCAACATTTGACAGTGATCATGATTTGTAACGAACCCATGTGCTCCGTCGCAAGATCACTCACTTCAAACGCTATCAATTTCACGCGTCTCGCAGCCACGGTTTCCTCAGTTTCTGACGACATGTCAAATAACGAGGCTGTTATAGAATCTACCGACTGTAGTCAGATTCCAATACAATCAACAAATAAATTCACGTCAGGATTCTTCACAAATTCGAACTTTTCTCTTTGCTCATTTAACTTCCAAAACTAACTCCCTCGTGGAGGGCAAGGTAGGATTTACGGTGTTCACTGTATTTATCCATGCGCGAAATTTGTTCCGGGCGAAAATCGGAACAATTTCAAATCATACTTTCAGCTCAGAGTTCTATTGATTAACTTAAATTACCCTATAGACATAGCATACGCAATTGTATTGATACTAAAATGTGGAATGAAATTGAAGCGTTTGTTAAAATTTCAAAGTACTACTTTGTTTGCCAATCAGCACGCGACAACACGCTGTTCCAACTATTGAACGAATTTGTGTGGACTGTCGAAAAGATAATTAAAAAAGAACATAAGAGACAGAGAAAACGTAAATATAAGTATTGAACCGTTTTTGTATGGTATTTATGATCTATTTGAATGACACAGCTTTGCAAGCAAACAACATAATGCGGGCTAGCGCATTATGATTTGTGTGCTTGCAAAGCTGTGTCATTCAAATAGATCATACATACAATACAAAAACAGTTCAATGCTTAAATACACTTCAGGTACAGTACCGTAGCTGTTAAAATGTGAATGTGTTGAATTCCACGGTTATATGCACTGCTGGCACAAACACACAGTACTCTAGCTGTTGAACTCCACGGTTATATACACTGCTGGTACAAACACATAGTACTCTAGCTGTTGAATTTCACGGTTATATGCACTGCTGGTACAAACACACAGTGCTCTTGCTGTTGAATTCCACGGGTATATACATTGCTGGTACAAACACACAGTACTCTAGCTGTTGAACTCCACGGTTATATACCCTGCTGGTACAAACACACAGTGCTCTAGTTGTTGAATTCCACGGTTATATACACTGCAGGTACAAACACACAGTGCTCTAGCTGTTGAGTTCCACGGTTATATACGCTGCTGGTACAAACACACAGTTCTCTAGCTGTTGAACTCCACGGTTATATACCCTGCTGGTACAAACACACAGTGCTCTATCTGTTGAATTCCACGGTTATATACACTGCGGGGACAAACACACAGTGCTCTAGCTGTTGAGTTCCACGGTTATATACGCTGCTGGTACAAACACACAGTTCTCTAGCTGTTGAACTCCACGGTTATATACCCTGCTGGTACAAACACACAGTGCTCTATCTGTTGAATTCCACGGTTATATACACTCATAGTACTCTAGCTGTTGAATTTCACGATTATATGCACTGCTGGTACAAACACACAGTGCTCTAGTTGTTAAATTCCACGGTTATATACACTGCTGGTAAAAACACACAGTGCTCTAGCTGTTGAATTTCACGGTTATATACTCTGCTGGTACAAACACACAGGGCTCTAGCTGTTGAATTCCACGGTTATATTCACTGCTGGTACAAACACACATTGCTCTAGCTGTTGAATTCCACGGTTATATTCACTGCTGGTACAAACACACATTGCTCTAGCTGTTGAATTCCACGGTTATATTCACTGCTGGTACAAACACACATTGCTCTAGCTGTTGAATTCCACGGTTATATACCCTGCTGGTACAAACACACAGTGCTCTATCTGTTGAATTCCACGGTTATATACACTGCGGGGACAAACACACAGTGCTCTAGCTGTTGAAATCCACGGTTATATACACTGCTGGTACAAAAACACAGTTCTCTAGCTGTTGAATTCCACGGTTATATTCACTGCTGGTACAAACACACATTGCTCTAGCTGTTGAATTCCACGGTTATATTCACTGCTGGTACAAACACACATTGCTCTAGCTGTTGAATTCCACGGTTATATATACTGCTGGAACAAACACACAGTCCTCTAGCTGTTGAATTTCACGGTTATATACACTGCTGGTACAAACACGCAGTGCTCTAGCTGTTGAATTCCACGGATATATACACTGCTGGTACAAACAAACAGTGCTCTAGCTGTTGAATTCCACGGTTATATTCACTGCTGGTACAAACACACATTGCTCTAGCTGTTGAATTCCACGGTTATATACCCTGCTGGTACAAACACACAGTGCGCTAGCTGTTGAATTCCACGGTTATATATACTGCTGGAACAAACACACAGTCCTCTAGCTGTTGAATTTCACGGTTATATACTCTGCTGGTACAAACACACAGGGCTCTAGCTGTTGAATTCCACGGTTATATACGCTGCTGGTACAAACACACAGTTCTCTAGCTGTTGAACTCCACGGTTATATACATTGCTGGTACAAAAACACAGTGCTCTAGCTGTTGAATTCCATGGGTATATACACTGCTGGTACAAACACACAGCGCTCTAGCTGTTGAATTCCACGGTTATATTCACTGCTGGTACAAACACACATTGCTCTAGCTGTTGAATTCCACGGTTATATATACTGCTGGAACAAACACACAGTCCTCTAGCTGTTGAATTTCACGGTTATATACTCTGCTGGTACAAACACATAGTACTCTAGCTGTTGAATTTCACGGATATATGCACTGCTGGTACAAACACACAGTGCTCTATCTGTTGAATTCCACGGTTATATACACTGATGGTACAAACACACAGTACTCTAGCTGTTGAATTCCTCGGTTATATACACTGCTGGTACAAACACACTGTACTCTAGCTGTTGAATTCCACGGTTACATACACTGCTGGTACAAACACACAGTGCTCTAGCTGTTGAATTATGAATGTGTTATGTGTTGTATTCTAAGGATAGTACACCACTTGTATTCCATATATTGGTTTAATATTATACTAAAAAAATCCATGTGTTTGTTATTTTTGTTTAAATTACTCCAATTAAGCTTCGCCCAACTCTTCTCTAGAATGTGATGTCACAACTGTCCACTATATAACCTGTTCAAGTTCAAGTTCTTTATTAGCTGAAGTTTTATGGCAATTACAGATAAGACAAAGACACTCACAAGGTGTGTAATAAGTTGTCGATTATAAGACGGTCATGTCAACTGATTACACAGCTACAGGTAACTTATTGTACAGCCATAGGTGATACCTCAACACTTCACTGGATATACTACAAAAACACAATGGATGACATCACAACTGTGTTTTAATAAAATTGATATAATATATATAGCTTATTAAGCGATAACGTTTTACACTTACTGCACGTCACCTAAATAGCCTTATTATATATGACGCAATGTTACCTTGATATATAATTGTTTACCTAAGCTGTGTAAATTAGAACAAGAGATACACACTCTTAGCGTCAGCAATAAAATTCAATGGCATGTTGCCAATATCCCGTAATTAAGGATGACTAACAAGGTCGAAGTTAAAATACATTTTATGCAAGACTTAAACATAATAAGCGGTTATGAGCTTTTCCATTTCATTGTACTTTGAAGGATCATACCATTCATACTATACAACAGTGGAACAAAGAACATGCTTTCATGAATTTAACAGACAGAAGCAACGAAATACATTTACAATATATGATATCGTACTTGTATAATTTATAGATATCAGGTTCTTCATTTAAATCTGATACATATGCAATACAAAGTCTGTACACAGTACAGCCCATCTGCTTAACATATACTAAGCGTCAGGTAAAAAACTAAAAATATACACAACAAACATAAATTTCCAAGACCTGTGATTGCTAAGAGCCAGACTAACATGCATGACTGCACAACAGGTATATTCCAAATTGATTTTAAAGGGAACCAATTTGAATTTTTATTAATTTCAACTGGTACAGCCGAAAGATAAGTCATCAAGTGTTGAACGAACGTTCAGAGTGGCAACAGGTCGTTTGTTTTGCCCTTTCATATCTCAATTCGAAACATCACTGCATGTCGTTTTTCGTTGAAGACAATTGGTATAAATGTACCAATTCACCTCAGGTCTATAATTGCATAATTCAAGTTATGCAGATGTATGACGTCAAACTCATTTTGGCAGGAAATTCTTAGACTTGAATCAATTTGAAAAAAAAAGATCAACCATTCAATTAGTGTTCGTACATAAAGCAGTAAATAGCAATATAGAAATTTCAACGTCTGAAAATAATATCTGTATTCTGGATTTTAACAATTAAAATTATTAAAATAACTTAATAATATTTTAAAACATTCATCTTTTTTTATAATTATCTCTCCAGAACTCTTGAATTAGTATCTGGATATGAATAGTCCAGAATCGTTTTAAAGCAGCATAAACTGGGCTTGATGAAATATTAAAAATACCATAATCAAACAGATATTGTCATTTTTGCTATTTGATTGTTCAATGCTATCAAGCCTACTCAGAATTTTAACTTGAGTATCCTTCAGATCCCTCAGAACGTTTGAACGGCCCCACACTATACATCTGCAGTCTTCGCCGTCCTGACACGGGCTTTCAGAGTCCACCAAGCTGTTCAGACTGCAGTATTTGGAATCCTGTTTTGTGTCATCAGACACTGGCGAACCAGGACTGTTCAGGATTGTCTTTAAACCTTCTGCAAGTTTCTGCAGCTCAGCACGTTGTTCAGTTGAACCGGCTTGTATTTCTTCAACTTTTTCAAGAATTGTCACTACTGTCCCCTTGAAAAGAAATTCCTTCTTATAAATATTTGAAATTATAATTTGTATCTCTGCAAAAACTTCAATATCATTTACAAATATTTCTCTGATTAATTTTTTCAGACAATACATTTGACGTTTTAATTGACGTTCTATTGCACGTGCTGGAAGTAAAGCGGTTGAACTGTATGTACTCTGTTGTATTTTTCATTTAAAAAAACCATAATGTATTCATTAGAAAATGCTTCGACCGAATAACAAAACATCTTTGTTTATTTGCCTTTAATTTGTCATAATTCTCACACAGACCATCCAACATGTTACGAATTTGTCCCGTGTAATCATCTATGTCGCCTCCTCCGTGTGACAATGCTATGTTTTCACATCGTGATAATTTAATGTATGTTGGATTAAGCGCAATGTTTTCCACAGCCTTTCTTAAACGTTCGATTTCGTTGCCTTGTTCATCAATCTTATTCAGCAGTGCCTGATCCTGTGTTGTTGTCAAACTGCTTTCGCATTGGCAACAGTTGGATATTATTGGTTCAGGTTCAATAACAGTCGCTGTGGATGATTCGGAAATATCACTTTCGTGAGATTCCATATCACTTTCGGGGAATTCCATATCTCGCATTTCATAATTTCCATCTCTACCTTCCACATTAATCTTTGCTTTGTCACATACTTCTTTATTTGTGTCAAACTGCGAGAAGGAAGAATGGTCTGTATCACATTGTGGCTCAACAGTTGTTCCTGGTGTACTATCGTTGTCATCTCCTGTGTCCTCAGGACAGTCATCATGACAAGTAAAGCAATTCAATGTACATTTTCCTTTCCTTCTTTCGACATCATATCGTTTTGAACGGGGCATTTTGCTTGAATTCTGATCTTATCTGTAAAGGATAAAATACATTATTAATGTATCAACAAATTTACTCAAAAGGGTCTAGTAATGAAAGTCGAAAAATATCACGTTTAAAACTTATTTAAGGCATTTTCTGCAGATGCATTCCAAAGAAAACACAAGTAGAAATATATGTTTACAAGTTACAGTTATTCTCAATTTTCACATTTAGAAACGATGAAGGAAGAAGAAATGTCCAGGGTCGGAATCAATACCATTCTTCTGCCGATCCCAGACTCTGCAGATGCTGTTTATCATTAATTGTATAGGTAAAGGGGACGCAACTCTAACCTAGCAAAAATATATTCTTTAAAATGCTCCTAAAAGGATAAGTTCGTTTGTGTTTAACGTCCTATCAAGAGTTTTGTTCATTTAAGGACATGCCAGGGGTTTTTTGGTGGAGGAAAGCCGGGGTTTCCGGAGAAAAACCACCGACCTGCGACCTATACCTGGCGACTGCCCACGTATAAAGCCTCGAACCATCCAGACGGTGAGACGCCTTAACCCGGCCCTGCTTCCAAGAAAAGGGAGAAATAGTAAAAAAAAACCAGCCCTGAAGCAGAATTTTTTTATAATTGTATCTATGTAATAATACCATTTACCTTAATTGTAAACATCAGCAACATATCTCACGAAAAGGTTTTAACCGAACAAAGAAACGTTCGTGAAGGATTGTCAACGGGTGGCGGTTCGTTAGAGTATTTACGTTACATGTATTAATGTTGGTTATTTCTTTAAATTTATAAAATACACGATATTTCAGGACAGATCGACATACTAATTAACAGCGAACACTTTTAAACGCTAACATTGGTTTGTTTTATCTTGTTAAAAATGAAACCATAAACAGCATGAGGTCGTTTCAGACATTGCCTCAATCTAATGACTGATATAAGTATATAGCAACATAGCCGTCTTAATCACGGACGGGTAATTCTCTTACCTGCGATAACTTTGTAGGATTCCTACGGATGTTATGCATGTGTTATATCGGCTAAGTGGCAGAGCTTCTCTCACCGTTGTGGTCGACGTACTTAATTCGTTTATGACTCACCTTGATACAAATAACGTCGTATCAATGTATTATATATAGTGATGGCAGTATGCAAATATTGATTTTTATATATACATATATATTATCTCATTTAGAGATAACAGTCTTGGTTATCAGTACACACAAGGAATCAAATGGAAATGAAATCTATCAATAGTGTTGATATGTGTTGATTCGCTTAACGAAATTTTAAAAAACAAAAACAAAGATGTACTAGTCTACCCTAATTTGTCTTTATATTACACACATGTTTAAAAGTGGTTCATGGTTATTCATCACAGTCGCTAGATCTGAGAACACAGAGCTTGGTTTCTGTTGAAGTTGGTACATTGTTCTTAATCCAAGCTTACTTCTGTGTACAGTGCAGTTCAGTTCTTTACTACCTTGAACCTTACGGCTCCTCTGTTCAAAATAAACATATATACAAGGATAAAAAAATACAATCACACACACCCATATTGACATACACCCACAAATACACACACACATATGCATTAGTATAGTGTAGAGAAACATTCCTCGTTATATTGGTACATAGTCTTTTCTTTTCTGAATACTCAGCTTAATATATTTGGCTTACTCTTTTTTTTGTTTAGTTTCCATAAGTTGGATAACTTTATACATGCTAGGTTTTTCATAGTAATATTTCTTAATAAAACGCTTTCTGAAATCTACAAAACATTCACATTTTAATATAAAATGAAATTCATCTTCGATATCCCCACTGTTGCAGTATGCAGATGATCTCTCAATCCTATCTAAATTGTTATACCTACCAATTTCAATATTTAATGTGTGAGATGATAGCCTAATATTTGTATTTTGTAATTTCTTCCAGATTTGTATTTCCTATTGGTTTTGTTAGATATGGTTGTAAACAGAAATTTTCGCCAATAAACTTGTACAGTGAACACTTAGAAGATGAATCTATTTTACCATATTCATATTAATATTCATATTCATAATATAATCGGATGTATAGGTATTTCATACTGCCATATGTACCCTACTCCCATTCTAAATAGTTCATGTCTTACTCCATTCATCCATTCACTATCATTTTCTAACATTTCTTTATAACATGCATGTAAAACACAATTGTCAGTTTGTTTTAATTTTAACCAGTATTTAAAAACTCTAAATTTCCTAATTATTTCCAAAGGTAATTCTTCTTAATTCTTGGTAAACTATAAAATTTGCCGTATATTTCTTAACCTCTAATAATCTTTTACAAAAACTTAAAAAAATGTATTTTCTCTGTATCTGGTGCTTAATGAAAGCCCCAAACTCCATAACTAAAAAATATATGTATCGAAAACATGAAGCTGAATTTCAACGTTAAAATATTTTTTCTTAGAGACGTTTGATACTGAAAACAATGCTTTTTTCCCTTGTTCAGTGATTTTTCGTTGAGATTTAATTTACCATTAAAATTCATTAATATTCCCAGGTAATCAAATTCATCTACAACATCTCATACACATCCATCAAAGTACCACCCATCTTCTTCTCTTAATTTACCTCCGTTACGGAAAACCATTACCTTGGTTTTAGAAGTATTAACCGTAAAATTCCATTTATTTGTATAAAGTAATAATGTATCTAACATTTTCTGCAATCCCTCAGAAGTTTCGGCCAATAACACCATATCGTCTGCATACATCTTTAAAAATAAATTAATAGTTGTAGCTCTATAGAAGGACACCCTTCTGTAAATAAAAAAAAAAAATCGCAATCATTGACATGCATAGAAAACAATAGAGGAGACATTATTTCTCCTCGAAATAATCCATTTTTACATTAAAAAAAATCTGACATGTTTTTGTTATACTGTACACAACATTTTACATCTCTTTACAAAGAACGTATGATATTCAGCATCTTTCCTTCTATACCTTCTTTGATAAGTTTGTACCACAGATTATGTCTATTAACGAAGTCAAAAGCATTTTTGTAATCAATAAAGCAGCAATACAATCTTCTTAAAGCCAATCTGAGCATCACTTAATTTAGAATAGTCACTATCGAAATTAGTAACACGCTCATTGAGAATTGATGTAAAAAAAATCCCTAAACAACTTACTAAAGTAATTCCTCTGTAATTATTGCTATCGTTATTGTCTCCTTTCTTAAAAAAAGGAATTAAGTTCATAATTATTTAAAAGTCATTAACCATTTCATTCTCAACAGGTTCCGTTGAAGACAATTCGCTACAATACAATCTTGTTCACTAAGATTCCCCTTATTGTTACTCTTTCTTTTCTCGAATCTACTGTAGAAAGCCTTAGGGTTACTTTCCCCCCAAGTAATCCATCATATTACCTTGTTGAGCTATATATTCACGCTTTAATCTAGCTTCCAGTTTTTCATAGTTACGCTTTTTAAAGATAAAAATGTTCTTATTTTCCTCTGACTTAAGTGAATTAAAAGTAAATAATGCATTTTTGTATTCAATATATCTGTTTTTATAAACTTCGTTAAACCATGGTTTATCCTCCACTCGAACAATTTTAACTTTTCTAGATGTGTATGTAGTAACATTTAAAGACATTAACAATTCATTTAACATATTAGTAAACTTATTCACACTCTCATCTATACATTTTTGATTATCCTCAATATTATTACAAGCATTTAATAACTCTCTACGGTTTTCCCATCTCTGCATTTTCCTTATTCCATTTAACATGTGTATATTTGGTATCTGTATGATCATAATCAGGTACAATTACGCTTTGTGCAAATAAATTCACAGTAATACAAATTGGATAATGGTCTGAAAAAACATGAAATATTCCACTCTCAAAGTGAGTAATATTCTTTAAAAAATCATCAACAGTCAATACATAATCTATTAGACTAGATCCCCTACTATTCAAAAGGTTATACTACCATTAGGATCATCTTTATGTCGTCCATTTACAATTCTAAAGGAAGTAGTTTTACACAGTCAAAGAAGATGTCTTCCAAATTGTTTAATATGCAAGTCAGAATTGGAACGTTTGGATGGAACAGAATCATAAACATAATTTACAATATTTGAAATAACATGCGCAGGCCCTTGATTAACAATATCATTACTTATATAATCATCGTAAATACCCGTTCTACTATTGAAATATCCTAGTACAATCACTTTACTTAATCCGTTGTATTCACACACCATTTCCTCAAGTCTGGCAAAAATATCAATTTCACTTTTGTGATAAACAAGCAAAATGTATATATATCACTGACATTATTTCTAATGTTATTGGATATTTTTAACAATACAATGTTGTCATTAATGTTACCTTTTATAGTACAATAATCGCAAATAGTCTATTTAATAAAAATTACAATTTCACCGCCTTTACTATGCATTATAGGAAACACACAGCTGGCATAACATTCCAATTCCACTTCATCCTCTTTCTCAACCCACGTTTCATACAAACACACAACATCATATTCAGTAATAATATTTACAAACTCTTCTGTATTTAATTTGTCCGTGATCGATCTACGTATATTCAATGAGATAATGGAAAGTCCTTACACACAACTCTAACAAGAGATTCCCTCTGGGTGGCTCGCGAACGAAGCGCGCACTGTGGTCCTGTCGCGAAGATGAACCCCACCACTTCTGGCCAGTAGTCGTATGTTGTCCTCGAGAGGGTCGCGGTTGTATTTGCCACCTCGCTAACCGCCAACAAATTTCAAAGCCACTGTTTCTTTTTTTCTTAAAAAATGATGTTTGTAAATGTCCCTAATAGAAATGCCAAACCTCTTTGTAGTGCGAATATAACGATGTGTTACTGTATTTTGACTATATTTGTAAATATCTGTTGTAGATTTACTTGTAAATTCCTATCTAAGTAATGTTAATCGTTCCTTTTTCACCTAACTCGCTTAATTTGAAGCGAGATTTACCGATGAAAATTTCCAGTTAATTTAAAAAAAGAATTCAACCTATCTATCACAAATTTCCGTGATCCGTACGAGGACAAAATTCACTGAAGACGCAAGGTACAAAAAAGTCGTTAATTTTTAAATACCATACAACATCAGAGAGAGGATTTAGAAAAAGCATCGTGCCTTACTTTGTTAAATGTTAAAATTGCATTGCTTTCCTCTAAATTTATCTGAACTGCTCTGTAGAAATTGAAATTTAATGAAGTTGCGTACGATATATTAAAAGAATATCTGTATGTTTTGCTGATCAATCTGTACGACTGTTTTATGTATGTGTGTATATGTCTGAAAGTTTGTTGTATATCTGCCTGTTAGTCTGTTGTGTTTCTCTCTGAATATCTGTTACATGTTTGTACGTCTGTTGTCTTTCTGTCTGTATGTCTGTTACACATTTGTACGTCTGTTGTGTTTCTGCCTGTATGTCTGTTACATGTTTGTATGTCTGTTGTGTTTCTACATCTGTTGTGTTTCTGCCTATATGTCTGTTACATGATTGTATGTCTGTTGTGTGTCTGTCTGTATGTCTGTTACATGTTTGTATGTCTGTGGTGTTTCTACATCTGTTGTGTTTCTGCCTGTATGTCTGTTACATGTTTGTATGTCTGTTGTGTGTCTGTCTGTAGATCTGTTACATGTTTGTACGTCTGTTAAATGTATGTATGTCTGTTACATGTTTGTATGTCTGTTACATGTTTGTATGTCTGTTACATGCTTGTATGTCTGTGACATGTTTTTATGTCTGTTACATGTGTGTCTGTTACATGTTTGTATGTCTGTTACATGTTTGTACATCTGTTACATGTTTGTACGTCTGTGACATGTTTGTATGTCTGATATATGTTTGTACGTCTGTTACATGTTGGTATGTCTGTTACATGTTTGTACATCTGTTACATGTTTGTACGTCTGTGACATGTTTGTATGTTACATGTTTGTACGTCTGTGACATGTTTGTATGTTACATGTTTGTATGTATGTTACATATTTGTATGTCTGTTACATGTTTGGATGTTTAATGTA